AATAAATATGAGAATCGACATCGAGTATCATATGGAAGAAAGGAAACAATGGGAATCATATGATGGCTGCCTTATGCCCCTATCCTCCATATGCTATAAATACTTCATCTCTTCAATTGTTTTATAGAAGTTCTTGGCAGTTAATGAACAATAAATATTTTATATGAGACAAAAGATAATGAAAAGCACCCACTTGTACCAAAGCCTTTTATTTCACCCTGAAGACCACTCACAGCAGACATAACTGCAACATAAAATCATTACAACCTAACATCAGTATTAACCCAGGCATATAATTTTGAAGTAATTCAATATGTCAAAAAGATATTGACATTGCTGTCATACCAGCAGGTGAAATTAGGAGCACTCTAGTTTTTGAGAAATAGAAAAACTCACACAAAGCAATAGCAATCAATTCAATAAAGCAGAGAAAGTGAAAGCATTCTGCCAATTCAGCTATTAAGCCAACAAAAACAGTTTGAGTTCACGGTATTTGCTAGGCAAGTACACGTGAACTCAAATATGCAACTTCACTATTAAAAAATCAATTATAACAAGCAGTGGCTGCAAGATTGTGACCTTCTTACAGTGTGCAAATTGCACAGTTAATACAGTGAACACCAAACATATGTTAACTTTGAGGTTCTATTTGATATCAAAGAAATGTTCTAGGGACCTTTATAAGTTTTTCTAACAAAGATGCACAACTGAAGGTGTAGAAGTGAAATACATGTGAACCCGGGACATTGAACCTCACTTGAAGAAAAGATGGTTAAGATGTTTATCTTAAAATCAAATTCAAGTTTCATTTCCAGCATACTTGAAGGTTTGAGTATCCTCCAATAAAAATTATATGTAATTCACCTTGTCTATTCAACTTCATAGATTTGCAAATTGATTCTCCACAAGGAATCTGTTATGCTCCAATACTCAAGTTACATGGAAGACCCTTTGAATAACAGAAGTGCTTGCTCTCTTAGCATAAAATTTTTTAGGTCTGTCCCAAAAGCTCTCACATGGAAATAATGGACTGTACCCAATCTTTTTCTTTTTCCTAGGTAGAATCTATTATATCATTCAACCATGAATTGTGAAGCATTTTCTTGAACCATATGAATCAGAAAAAGCCTGCGTTCTTAAGAGATCTTGAGTTCTAAATAGTAGGGAGACAAATTTTACTGCATCTAAACAAAGCCAACAATACATTCAGGTTCAATGCATCTAAAACCATTCAGCTATTCATAAAATTGATAAAGACAGAATTTGAAAGACTATTTGTTTAAAATATGTTTTTTAACTTCAACACAGGATATATACGCATCTATCTACCTGATATTGCTGGGGTTAGAATGCCATCTTCTATGACCATGGAAGTTCCCATCAAAACCAACAGCAACAGGAGGGTCTTCAAGGATGATCTCGTTTCCAAAGCCTCTTTTATGTTTAAAGCCCTTTCTAACTCTGGAGTGGGCAGTTTGAGCTTAAAACTTGATATCCGTTCATCCGCTGGCTGACGATTTGGCAGCATGTTGACCTTCGCATACCTGCAAATCAGTGAGTATAGTGCAAATGTTCCCCCTCCAATTGCATTAATTTACGTGTCAACAGGGAAATGATTTTCAATATTACTAGTAAAAAGTAAAGTGAATAGGAATCCTACTATAGAAGCTCTTACCCTCCCCATTATCATTGGCTTTAAGCACTACAAATACATATTTTGCCAACGGGATTAGAGCAATTGTGTACATCACCAGTGACAACCCCAAGATATCCACATCTGATTCAATTTGTACTTTGCTGAAGACATCACTGAAAACGTATAAAGGGCTTGTCCCCATGTCACCATACACGACCCCAAGTGTTTGAAATGCCAATGCAAGAGTGCGCCAAGTTGAAAGGTCCTGATCAATTAGAGTAATACATTTAGTAAGAGAATACAGTTGAGCATATTGGAATGTCAATTCCTTTGTAAAACGATCAAACAATTCTTGACTTTTTGAAAACAAAATAAGGTCTTCAATGGTAAAAATTCATACATTCTCAGTATAGAATGCTAATCACCATGGAAAGAAAAGTACCTTGTATAATTTCCTAGCTATTATAAGTGAGAACCTAATAATTTTCTCCTTAGAACCTAATAATTTTCTCCTGAGACTATTAACTCTCCACATTTGATAGAAGACACTATTTGCGCTATACCCCAGTTACTAGAAACAACAAAAGTTGTCCAATTTGTAGTCCATCATACAAAATTGATTGATGAGCCAAGCTGTGCGAAATGAATATATGAGAAACTTGGGGACGCTTCAATCACAGCACTTGCTCTGTAGTATGCAACAGTATTTTCTAAACTTCTTTATTTATTTATTTTTGTAGATGCAAAATTTCTTCATTTATTAAAATTTAAAAGGTCAAAATAAGAAATTGAAAAATAGAGTCGTCCCAGGCATCAACTTTTCTACCAATTTTCCAATGTCTTAAGCAGTACGGTAATGATAATATGCGACACTGATACAACAAAACGCCAAAAGCAAAGTCTTTGAAGAGGAAAAAAAAATTATATATCCAAATATCTTCAAGGTATAGAATTTTAAAGGAAATGGAGACAATCAAATTAATTACCTTAGGGTGGTGATCATGAGCACCAGCAATCTCCATGGCTTCAACATCAAAGAAATCAACTCTCTTGGGCTTCTTAACCAGTCTCCTCCGCAAAGATCCATACCCTTCTTTGCCGTCATTTTCATCAAGCAATGACCAAGGAGGTGACTCTGAGTCCACTTCACTACCATCCACCCACTTTGACTCAGCCATCCCACCACCACTGTAAGTTCTAGCAGTCAGTCTCGCACTGCTACTCTCTTCAATCTGATCTTCTTCCATATTCTCAAAAACCCTTCAAAACTCACTTTAAATGGCTTCCGTCTTTCTAAAGAAAGACTTTTTTTTTTTAATTTTCCTTGGCTCAGAAAAACCTCAGCCCCCAGTATTTGGTTCTTTGTACAGAAAAACAAAAAAAACTACCCCTTCGTGTTTAGTGCTTGCTCATTTTCTTCTTCTTCACTGTTTTCTTCTAAGGTAGATCTGGGAGGTTAATCTTATATTCTTCAATGGTCTCTTCCAAACTAATCGTGCAGAGACCAGAACATTGATTAATAATAATTGGATGGGACAGTGAGATCAAAAGAGAAAAAGATTGCTACTGCTATAATTTTTAGTTTCTGATGAGAAACGTCTTTGTTTCCATTGGCTTTTGGTGACGCTTCCTACGCCAATCAACACCTTTTTTTGGTTTTTTTTTTAATGCTGATGCTTTTAATAAAGTGCGTATGTTAGTAGTATTTTTTGCGTGATAATCGGAGATACGAGGGTTTAGGACAAAAGAATTTTAGAAATTTTTTATAATGTGTCTTGCAGGGAATGGGAGTTGTCAATTGTCATACCAATCAATGTCCTTAAGGCACACATCATCTTATCCAAATTCGGTCAAGACTTCGTATTTTTGACCGCTCTTTCTAAGAATATGCTTTCTTCGTTTTTTAATTTGAAATAAAAAGAATTATATTTGGAACATAATTCCAAAAAAGGCACACTTAAATAATATCCTATTATATTTATCTTTTATCGATTTTTTGAATCTTATTATTTTTAATAAAATTATAAAATTAAAATTTTTTAAATCTAAAAATTTTAATTAAATATTATATTTTAAAAAATTATTTATCAAAATTAAATTCATAAAAAAAATTAAACATGGATATAAGGAAGTAAAAGTTAAGTGCATTAATTTTTTTGACCAATTTGCATTAATCATTCAAATGAAAAATGTGGTTTTTGTTTAACAAATAGCAAAGGTTTTTTTTTGGCAAGAAATCGCAAATGTAGAAGAAAACCATTTATATATTCGATTTTCAAGACGCAATAAGCAAATCAAACTTTGGGAATGAAAATTGTACTGTAAATTCGGCTTAGTGAAATTTAATTATGAATTACGAAAATCAAATTTATTTCAAATCATAATTAAAAATTTAAATTATCCTCAACTCATTGATCCAAAAATTAAGGAGTTCTTTAGAGAAGATAAAGCTTGTAGTTTTGAACGAATGCCTCCTCATTTTCTTTATCATTATGTAAAAAAAAAAAAACCTTGAATTAACCTTAATGAGCCTAAAAGGAAATTATTTTAATAATTCGATTCAAATTAATTTGAATTTTCTAAAAAAAAAAAAAAACCTTTCAAAAAATTCAAAAATAAAATGAGGTGTCTACTGTCTGTAGGACACTAGTACTTGTAAGGACAGCACCAGCAAACTTCGATGTGGTAGATATATGGCGGTTAGATGGCTTTCAACATGTCAATATACCAAATCTTTGCTTTAAGAATACTAAATAATCTAGAGGAACTCAACCTACGAGTCCCTGGAAGCTCTAAACATAAGAAGATTCTCCAAATTATCCTTTGCGAATGCACAAAAGTGAAAGAGATGATCATGAGACTCCTCCACCTCATCTGCTCAAACTGATATTTCAGTCTTCAAGTCGAGATAAAGTGCTCAATCTGTCAAGTATTGCCAGCCAAATAATAAATGGATATTTAGGCAACCTTGGAGTCTTATCTCTCAACCATTGCAAAGTAATGATTAGAAGTGGAAAACAAACCAGCTAGCCACATAACAATATCATCAGTTGAGGTTATGACAACAGAGTCACATAACAAATTGATCTCCTACCACTCCTTAGAATTTAGGGAAGGCCAATGACACTAACCATTATAACATTAAGAAGCAACATAGCATTTTCAGGAATTGGAACATGTTGTAGAATACCTCTGCCATATTTGACCAGGAGAGGTTCTGAGGAAAAAATATGGTATCATGGAATTGTTAGGTTTGAAAGGGCCTAAGGCGCAACCCAAATCATTCTGGCCCAAAAAGAGAAAAGGCCACAGATGGGCTTAGGAATCAGGAACTGTCTGGGTCTTCTGGGGATTGGTTATTAATGAACCAACAATTGAGAAATTACTCAAATCAGAGAGAGACAGGAAGGCAATGTCGATTCTGTGGGAAAAGAGCGAAACCTGGCGGTGGATAGTGAGGAGGACAAGGGATTCGAAGCCGTTCTTCTTGGCTTTCGCTACCATATGCGGCGTTGTTCCCGGTGTTATAGGCTACGGTGTTATGCAGCTCACCAACTCCCGTAATCCTCAGTTGGAGGAACAGCTGCGCCGAAACGCCCGCCCCGAATCGCTCGTAAGCACCCTTTTTTTTCTAATCAGTTTATGAGTTCGATCAATGGTTATTTCTTCGATTAATTATCAGTTAAATATTTTACATTGTTTAATTGATGCTCACCTGCCTGTTTCATTACAAAATGTTGAAACGCATGTCCCTGAATGTTGGAAGAGTTAGTTTGGGAAATAATGGCTCTGATATATTTTGGATTTAGAGCTCCAAATAGAGAGTATTTTATAATGGAGATGCTATTTGTTGTTATTTTGTTTTTGGTTAACCAGATGATGGGGAAAGTAAACCAAGAGCGATTGGCGGAATACCTTGGGGAGCTTCAGCGGAAAGAGGATACCAATGACCGATATGTAGCTGCTTTGAGGGGAGAGACATTGACTAGGAATCCTTACCAGAGAATTCAGCCTATTCCAAAGCCGAATGTTCAAGCTGACAATCAACTTAAGAAGACCGACAAGGCTTAGCCATGTAAATTGGTAGCTTAAGTGTTTATTTTGTTCATGCTTTCCTGGTATGCTTGCGTACTTCATTTCGTAGAGATTAAACTCAGATCTGAAACATATCTGGATTAATAACACCTGTGGGTAATGTTTTTGCAATACTGTAATTCTAATAGGTTCATTGGGTAAACAGATTTATGTTTAATATGTTGGTTTCTTGACAATAATGTTGTTTGAACTTACAACATGTGGTTTTGCATACCTTCTACTCTGTAGAAAGTGTGTGCCTTGGATTATTTTCTATTGGCTTGCTGGCTTTGGTGTTCGTGTCATCTGTTGGAAGGTTGGTTTTGAAATAAAACAGCTCTCTTTTGCTATTTCACTTGCTGCAACTTAGCTCTCACAGTTTCCCCAATTATACTTCTTGTATGCACCACTTCTTCTCCTCTTCGTTGCTTCTTTATAGTATAAAGCTGGAGTTACATGTTTAATTTTCTGTTGAGATGTGACCGTTGAAACTGTTGATGCCCCCATTTTAATTTGTTTGATACTTACCAGGATTTCAAGATTTTGTAACATTTACGATTCGACCTGGTTTCAATGAAATGTAACAGCAAGATGATTGTGCTTAAAAAGTTAACCTCTCGCAAACAAATGCAGTCTTCCTGTCTGTTATGGGAATTTAGGCTTACAATTCATGAAACATGATTCTCTATGTTGGGGGAGGATTATTGTCGATGCTATATTGTGAGAAATATTCAGTCTAAAATGAATTAATCATGTGGAGGGAGTAAACTAACCAATAGCTCAGATGCGCAGTTGGACATTATTTTTTTCCAAAGAAACGGAACTCAGATGTCAGAGAGTCTGAACCTCCTTTGGACAAGTGTTGGACAAGATTTTTCAAGCTTGAGAATTGGTACGGTCAAACGGGGACTTTGGATAAAAATTTCAATCAAGCTCGGACTCGACTTATGAACTCTTTTAATCTGCATATGTCTCCAGTGGTTTTTTTTTTTTTTTAATTGTTATCATAATACATATCTAATTTAGTGTAAAGAAGATAAAAAAAGTTTTCTAAAGTATTTTTTAATCATTAATTAGTGCTTTAGTGTTTAATTCATTTGATTTTATTTAGAGATAATGGATACTTGTACGGGATAATAAAACTTATTTAATCAACAAAAATTGTGAAGTATCAATTTATAAGAATTGAGAAGATGACAATAACTTTTTGTTTTTTTGGATAAATGGTGTTTCATTATTCCAAAGAAGCAGGACTTCCGGTATCAGTCAACAATTAAAGAATGAACTTTCAGCACTTTTTATACAATCTCCCAATTTTTAAATACAGAACTAATAGTGGGATCACTTGTGTTTTTTTTCATATTTTAAAAAGCGAAACTTCATATCAAACTTATGCCTTGCAAAGTATCTTCAAATAGTTAGAGAACAAATGTCAAGTTTTAGAGAATTCCTCGCACACCGTATGTGGTATATGCTTGTTGTCCACTCCTTTCAAAATCATAGCCTTAAAAGTTTTACCTTTAGTATGCTGAATAGCCTAGTCAAACGCCTGTTGCCAACTGTGGAATCTACGATCAATCTCATACATTGTTAACACTAATTGCCAAACTTGCTTTGGGAAGTCACAAGAAAATAAAATATGATCTCTCGTCTTTTCCTTTATATCATAGAAGTATTAAGTGATTTTTTGGGCAAATGAGTACACCATCTCTTAATATTAGCTAGTGTGCTCAATCTGCCAAGAATTGCAAGCCGAGTGATAAAACTATGTCTTGGGAGTGATGAGGAATTCTAGACTAATTTTTGCCAAGCCATAGTGGGTTTTCTATCCCTAATCCAGTCCTATGTATTTGAAAGTATGAATTTGCCAAATTTTGATGCTTGCCAAACAACAACATCCTTTTCTTTAGTAAGGGTGAGGCCAGCCAACTTCTGCTATAAACCCCTCATCTGTAGCGGAGTAGTGAGCTTCTGAGTCCAATAATTTGTTAAGAAAGCAAATACAACACAGTTACATTCATAGGGATTGCAACCTGTGATACTATTCCTCTGTCACAAGAAGTAATTAGAGGACCATCATTAAGCCAATTATCAAACAAGAATGAAGTATTGCTTCCATCTCCAATCTTGTGCTTTATGAGCTCTCTGCCAATACTTCCTAGCTTTAAAAGTTTCCTTTAGTGCCAAGTACAAGATTGTGTATAATCAATTTGCCAAAAGCTTTTTCCCCTCGAGTGATAAGCTTTTGTCCAGGTTACCCAATGGGAACCAGCTTGAGTAAATAAAGATCAAATACATTATAAAAGACATGCTTTATTCCATGTTATAAGATCTTTAAGACCTAGTCCACTTCCTTTTTTGAGTAGCGAATGGCTTTCCAACTAACTTTTGCTCCTCTTGCATCCCTCTCTTTTCCTTTCCAAAGAAAAGCAGAACAAACTTGAGTCATTTTCTTGGTAACTCTCTCGGGAAGTAAAAATATGTTGCACCAATAATTTTGAAGCCTAAACATAACAGATTTTATAAGCTGCAGTCTGCCAGCATAAGAAAGTCTCCTTGTGACCTAGCTATGAATTCTAGCAATTATTTTTTGGATTAAAGGCTGACAATCTTAATCATTTAGCTTTTTAGAAAAGAGTGGCACCCCTAGAGACTTGATAGGAAAGCTCAGCATTCTAAACCCAGTACTAACTTGGATCTCTTGTAACTTAGAAGCAGAAACATTAGCATGAAACAACTCACTTTTAGCTGGATTTAATTTCAGATCAGATATTGTGTAGAAAAACTGCAAGATAGATTAGACTTTCTTAGCTGCTTGTGAAGAACCTTTCACAAAAAGCATGAGATCATCTACCAAGCATAAGTGGTTAATTTTGATCTTTCGAGTTTCGACAATAGGGATGATAAGGAAACAGTCCTTGAGAACTGGCATTATTTAACATACATGATAAGACTTCCGTTACTAACACAAAAAGGTAAGGTGATAGTGAATCTTCTTGCCTAATTCCCTTTGCACCTGTCAAATAGCCCACCAAACCTCCATTCAATGATATGGAAAACCTGGTAGTAGTAACGCATTCATGTATCCAATTGAGGAAGTTTACAAGGATGCCTAGCGCGCTCGAAACTCATTTTAGAAAATTCCAACTTACTGAATCAAAGGCTTTCCTCAGATCGACTTTGAAAGTGCATATTGGAAAAATATGCTTCCTATGATTTCCTCTAACTAGTTCTTGAGCAAGAAGGATATTATGTGTGATGCTTCTCCCCTCCACAAAAGCTGAATGGTTAGGAATAATTACTTCAGGGAGACTTTTTTGTTCTGTTAGCCAATATCCAGGCAATACATTTGTATACTGTGCTACAACATAAGATAGGTCTATAATCAGCCATAGGATTGGGATTTTGAGTTTTAGGCACTAGAGTAATACTAGTAGAGTTTATGGCAGCATGCATTCTTCTAGAATTGAAAAAATAATGAATGGCCTTGAGGAAATCCTCCCCTACAATATGCCATGCTTCTTTGACAAATTTTGCAATATATCCATCCGGCTCAAGAGCTTTCTCATCTGGTAAGGAGAAGAGAGTATCTTTAATCTCTTTGCTAAGGAAATTCCCAGCCAGGATTGATTTACTTTCCTCAGAGAATTATTTCTTTAATATAGTTTTAATGTCCACTAGAGAATAATGCTTTCACAAGGATCTAGTGCACCAAGTAACTTCTAGAAATAATCAATAGCTTCTTGATTTATGTCATCGAAAGATGTGAGTTTTCTTCCCTCAACATCATAAAAGACCCTAATCTCATTATAAGAATTCCTGGCCCTCATAACCTTGTGAAAGTATCTTGTGTTTTGATCACCTATTTACACCTATTGTATTCTGGACTTTTGCCTATAGAAGACTTCTTCAGTTGCTAACATCTTCACAAGTTTAGAGGATTTGGCTTTTGATGCCTTTGCTAAGTCAATATCATTAGGCTTAATTAGCAAAAGATTTACTCAACAAGTTGACTAACTCTTTGCGCAACATTTCAACTTTACTTGAAATAGCAACATAATTCCTTCTATTAAGTTGCTTAATGACAGGCTTAAGCAATTTCAACTTTGGTGAAGCACTGACATAAGAGAACCTCTCACATTTTGCCTTCAAATATCATCCACAGTAGACTTCAAGCTTTCATTTTGTACCCAAAAGTTAAAAAACTTAAAAGATGCCAATGACTTTTAAAGGTTATAAAAGACATCGACCCTAAACCAAAATTTACCATTCGTAACCTTTTTTTTCTAATCTCGTCAACTAGTTTTTTATTGTAACAATAATTTTATTTGACTTTCTGTTGTTTCTTTTTCATTTCTGAACTGGTATTTAGGAGGAAAATGTATGGACCTGAAGACCGCATCGTCCCAGCCCAACAAAACCATAGTCCTTCAGGTTCGTGCTCTGGTGGCCACTGGCCAGGGCCCATATTAGACACTACAGTCTACAATATTATATCAGCAAAGCAAAATCGATTTGCTTTGAAAAACAGAAATCAGTTGTAATTTAGATTTTAGAAAACTGGGTCGTTTATTGTTCTAGGGTTTTAGAGCTTTGGGATTGGCTCCAGCACAGCCAAATTAATTAATCTTTTCCTTCAAATTTCGATCTCTCTCTCCTGTTTCGGACAAAACCCTAGAAATTTCCTCAAGGTAACACCTAATCATCTTCTCTCTCATTACATCTACTCCTTCGATCATTTCCTACTAATACCCTAAATTTTCTATGATCTCTTTTTGACGAGCCTAATCGCTAATCAGAACCATTGATTTTTCTTTCTTTGTTTTTTGTTTATTAATTATTATTTAAGTTGTTCAGTGATTTTACGAGAATGTCTCGGGTTTATGTCGGGAATTTGGATTCTCGGGTCACTGAGAGGGATCTTGAAGACGAATTTAGGATTTTCGGCGTTCTCCACAGGTAATTTTTTATCTTATTTTTTTGAATGAAGAAAAGAATGGTTTTTGATTGAGACGTGGGTCATTATGGGTTAAATTTATATGGTAACTGTGAAGATTTTCTGGTTTTGCTTTGTGCCACTTGAAACAAGTTTTCGTTTCCATTTTTTTTGTTTTAAATACTGGTTGTGGTATATTGATTGATTAGTTGCTGATAAAATGAATCCAGTGTATGGGTCGCTCGAAGGCCACCAGGATATGCATTTGTTGAGTTTGATGATCGCAGGGATGCTATGGATGCAATCCGCGAATTGGATGGTAATTATACTTCTTTTTTTTTTTTTTTTCCAATTTTTACTATGAATCTTGATCTTTTTGGTGTTTGTTTCATCCATTTGTTGTAGTTCCCAAACCTGTTTGAAATATGGGGGTTTTTTACTCCAATGTCCTTATAAAAGTTCATCATTTTAATTAGATTTTGTTTGATTATTTCTGCTCTCCTCACTTCATGTGCTGCATATGCTTAAAATACGTTGACTATTGAGCTTTGATATCTAGCTTAGAGATACATCCTAACTGTTTAAGTTGGTTGCTGATTTTTTTTTTCTATTTCCACAAGTTGCTATTATTTAGTAGTTGTTGGCATCCTGTTCTTTTAGTTATTTAGTTCATCATGGTTGCTTATCAAATTAATTCTAAGGTTCTTTACTTGACACTGCTTTAGTTCTTTCGGCTCCTCAGGTTCAAATGACAGATTTCTGATTTGTCCTGCTTTATTGACTGTTCTGAAATTTACTAACTGTTTATCTTTTTCTCCTTGAAGGCAAGAATGGTTGGCGTGTGGAACTTTCTCATAATTCAAAAGTTGGTGGAGGCCGTGGTGGGCGCCGTGGTGGGGGTGAGGATTTGAAGTGTTATGAGTGTGGTGAACCTGGTCACTTTGCTCGAGAATGCCACTTGCGCATTGGCTCAAGAGGCCTAGGAAGTGGGCGACGTCGAAGCCCCAGTCCTCGTCGCCGTAGGAGTCCAAGTTATGGGTATGGGCGCAGGTGTGTTTAAGCGTTCTTTTATTGTTTATATTGGATGGTTTAGTCCAAGTTAACTCTGTCAATTTAATATGAGCATGGCACAACAATTTAGGACTGCATTGTATCCATGTGTCCAATAGCGTTATTATTATACTGGCAAGAAGTATTTATCAGTTTATTTGAATGGATTTAATGAAGGCTTATTATTTTATTTAAACTTTATTTGGCTGCTAATGATTGATGATCTGAACAATGCGTGAACTACTGAAAAAATTTACTTGTTAATTTTCCCGGCTCATTGTGGCAGGAGCTATAGTCCACATGGGAGAAGATCTCCTCGGCACTGCAGCTTATCACCTTGTCATGGTCGCAGCTACAGCAGGTCACCTCCATATCATCATTCTCATCGTGATTCACCTTATGCTAATGGGTAAGTCATGCGTATTGAATAACTTGAATCATCAGGGATCTTATTTTTGATACTTGCATTATAGATCCAATTTGATATGCTTGCTTAAATTCCTTTGCAGAGATTAAAGCGGGGCCTGAACTGAAGTAAATCTTGATGACATATATGACAAATGAATATGCAATACTGTAGTTCTAATATGTTCATTGAGCAAAAGAGATTTATGTTACTTATGTTCATTCCGTGACAATGAGGTTGTTAGAACCTGTGGTTTTGCATGGCTTCTACTCTGCCAAGTGTTTCAGCCGCCAAAAGGGGTGCCTTGGACACCATTTTGCGGTGGTTTGATGTCTTCAGCATATGAAACTGGGAGGTCTCTTTCTTACTTCACATTGTTATCTGCTTATATATCTGTTATGTTTTATGTTCACTTAGTATGGTAAGTTTGTCTTTTTGAGATGGATGATTCTAAAGGATTTATATGTTTTGTTTTGAGGTTTGCTTTGAAGTGCATCTAAGTGCACATGGTTTCTTCCTCTCATTGCTTCTCTGCACCACTTCATCTACTCGTCATCGCTCCTGCATATTATAGAAGCTTGAGTTACATGTTGAATTCGCTAGTGCCTAGTAGTAACAAACAAATTGTGGTTGCTACCTTGTTGTGGTGTATGCATCTGCAACAAAGCTTCGACCTTTTTAAGAAGATGAAGCATTAATTGGTCTCCTGTTATTAGCTTCTCTGCCCTTCGTCATCTACTTGTATCATTGCTTCATATTCAGCCCAAAAATTTGAGTTATGCAAGACCCCTTCTTAGCACGTGTTCTGCAACAAAGAGTTGATCTAGCTTTGATCTTTGCTTCCATGGTAGCTGACTTTGCGAGGTGTCAATACTACTTTATCTTGATCTTGTCTAGTACTATTTGTTGATGATGGGTAGGATGTTCATACATTTGCTCGGAGACATATTTGAAATTGATGGTATGGCATCCTTTCTGTCTGCATAGTGTCAACATGTTTTTGAAGGTTGCATTCAGCGTGGAAGCTGCTTCAACCTGCACCAACTTATTTAGTGAGGATCTAAATAATGATTATCTGTGAATGTCCGAAGGTAAGTAGTTGGGGAGTAACCATCCTGTCTTCTGCAATGTCTTTCCACGTTTTCCATCCTTCTAAAAAAAAATTTTTTTTGGGTATATTTGCTAGTCTGTTTGGGCGCTGTATTTCACAGAAATCTTCATGCGTTGATATGGCTAATGCTAAATGGCTTGACTTGCCATTTCGGTCCATTCCTATCTTGTAATTTTGATTGCTCTGTTCCATACAGTATTATGCTTGGCAGTGCTAGTTCAGAATAACTTTTAATGGTGGTTGCATTTCACCTGGCGAATCATTTTAGGCAAATTATGGTAGAATCATTTCCATATATATGCTGTCCGAACTATATGAAGAACAAATTTCAGACAGCTGTTTTTCTTGATAATGGACCTATAGAGTTCAACACTGCTTATAATATTTTTCTTGATGGTTGATTAACTTTATCGAAGTAATTAATGATAAATTACCAAAATATCTTACTCTCCCCTCGCTACCCATAACGCTATGTATAATAAAGAAAACTGAAAGCGTGGAAACTTTGTTTAACCTATGACTAAATAATTTGTGAAATTCTGCACAAAAAAAAGCTTGGCTTTTGTCTCAACGTTTTTGAGTGGTTGAGGTAAATTACCCAAAGCATGATCCCGGAGCGCTTACCAAGTAGTTCTTCCTTGAAATTTCCTCCAGGAATGTCAATATCAGTACAACGCTAAAAGAATCGACAAATGATTTTACAAGCCTTTCTTTGTTTTAATTTACAATAATTTCATATATCGACAAGAAAGAATACGCATTTATTTTCTGTGATAGGTAGGAAAGGAGTGGTTTTCTTGCATTGCCATTGATCTTGCTATTGCTTGGTGACTTTAGATAGTCAGTCAAGGTCAATATCCTGACCAAATCAAGGATTGAGGATGCTTTTGTATCCCTGGTGTTGCTGCAGAAAGTCAAGTGATCTTCTCTAGCCACTCCTACTCCTACAATTAACCACTAGGGTAAAACTTTGATCTTTGTTTACGCAGAACTCATAAATAAGTGATTGAGAGAGGCATGGAGAAGGATTATACCCGAATTACGTTGACGCAGAAGCTAAAGTTCCTTGATATTTTCAAACAAGCTCTAGCAATTCCCTGCAGAAATACCAATTTCATTATCTTTGGCTTTTTCAGCTCCCTTCCTTTTTACTGCTTCTTGGTTTTCTTTGAGATCATTCTCCAGGGGATATTCCTTGAAATCTCCAAGTTTCTCGAACAGCTTCCATATTACTTGCATAATTATTATGATGCTGGGCGATACGAAAGATTGGGAATGAATTTTTTCTCTAAATCGATTCAACTCTGCTTTCTTTACCTGATACCTTATCAGCTTCTGGAGTTCCTCAACATAATCATGATCATTCCTACAGCATCGATGATATATGCAGCGGAGAAACCTGTCATCACCAGAGACATGATGATGATGATGATGATACGGAAAACAAGGTTAAAAGGTCCCTTCATTACATCAATATGTGTTCATCTCTTGTCAACTACTATTCTACTTGGCTTAGCAGGGTTTGTAACAAACTGCTGTATTATGGTAAAGAGCTTTGAAAGTCGGTCATACATTGATATTTTGCTGACCATTGCTCGTGGAGTTGGTTTTACAGCACTGTTGGTTAAGTTCTTTGAGTGGAATGCAGGATGGAACATGGCTTTAGTAATTTCAATACTGGAGGAGAAATATGGGATTGAAGCATTGAAGTTCTCGGCTTATATTAGCAGGAACTGTAGCGGACGAGGACTTATTTTGATTCTTGTTTTCTTTGTGTGGGGGATTATCATTAGGCTGTGCGGCATCTTATATGGATGCAATCATGAACTTGGAAGCGTTTTATTCACTTGCGTATACACTTGGTTAATTAGTTTGGGAAATATGATGAAGTGGGTAATTTGTGTTGTATGTTTATTTGATTCCAAGAAAGGAATTTTAGAAAATAATGTTGATGATGAGGAAGTAGGAAGAGATGTTAAACTTGTCAATGTTTAAGTTGTTATTGCAATTTGTAACTGCTATGAATAAGCTGAAAAATACCAAATGACTGTTATTGAGAGAACTGAAGTTGTAGATGCTTAAATCCTCTGCGACGGGGGAATTTTTGTGTTTGTCTAGTATATATCACTTCAGATTTCTAGAAAATTAGCATCCCGAGTCATGGCACAGCAGACCATTGGCCTGCTTTGCCTTTCATCTGTAATTGCAGATTATGCTTCCAGCTTGGAACACTACTCAAAGTAGATCTTCAAACCCTTGAAGTTGAAAAAAGGAAAAACAAAAAATTATAACTCATTTTCTTTGTTCTCTTTAGTCTAATTTTTAGTATTAAATTTATGATAAATAATTGTTTATTCTCCTTAGTCAAAGTTCAGCTATGGTTCATTTCTTGCCAATAGTTTAGACCCTGGTTTTATCCTAACACGTGTTAAATCAATCAAGTACCAAATAGTTTTTCCACCAAAATCTCCTATTATTTTCACAGGCATTTCTTTTTACTTAGTTAATATAACCAGGAAAATAGTTTCATATCTCATCAAGAATTTACAATTTTTTTTCGCTGGGGTTGGAAAGAATAGATTATATTGTTTGATCCTGTTTGGTTTAAAAAATAAATATGAATTAATGTTTAGATTTGGTAACTCAAGTTCAACCACTTACATTCTTTTTTTTTTTTAATATTTAATGACAAAAGGTTTTTATGTTTTATCTAATAGATCCATTTTTCAGTCGATTCAAGTAGGCTCATCTATGTCGGATGTAACGAATTTATGAGAAAATATCTTTTTATAACCTCCCGATATATCTGAATGCAGACTACAAAAATATAAGAGTACACTGATTTTACCATTTGAACCAACCATCCGCAGGTCAATCACTTATATTCAATGACTGGGTGTGGGAAACCTTTGTATGAGCGTGCTTTTGGGGTCGCCCCAAAATGTCAAGTCTTCATGCAAGACCAAATGAGAAGACTTTGATCTTGCTTAGGTACATATGGTGAAGATAGGCTATAGAAAATATGGAGACAGATCATCCTCAAATTATGTTGAAGGAGGAGCTCGAATTCCTTGACATACTCAAAAAGAAGCTTTCAGTTTTCTTTGAGAATGTCCTCCAAGAAAAATTTCAGTATTTTTATTGTCCACCAGATAAGAGAGGAATGAGGATGATGGGGTTTGAAGTCATATTTTATACGTATCCTTAAGCTTTGTTAGTCATTAGGTTAAGAAACTGAAAATTGTGATTTGAGAATTGGAGGTAATTTGATTTTCCTTTTTCCTAAGTCAGAGGAATCAGGTTTTAATTTTATTTTGTTGCTTTTAAAATTCTAATTAATTTTAATTATTTTATGTAAAATATATTAAGTTTTTAAAATTTATTAATTTTATTGTAAATTGCCACATCATCTTATTTATCCATTTGTATTTGCCATATCATCTTTTTCGTCCACTTGTATGCTGACTTGGAGGAGTTAACTCTGCTGGTAGTGATGTCAGCATTTTTCTTCCAAATTTGGTTAATTTTACTCTAAATATAGCATAACTTCTTAAAGACAGTGCTTTAACGTCATAGTTGTATTGAATGATTTCACAGGGTAATTTACCATGGTTTTGCATTCTAGCGATCGATCAAATAAAAACATAGTTGCCAGTAAAGTTTTTATCAAATATTGATTGTTTAAGATCAAATTATGCAATTAATTCGTGTATTCAGGTGAATTTAAAGATTTAATTTATATACTACTAGATTTCAAATTCATGCTTCGTTTGCGAGTGTAAAAATATAATTATGTATTAATTTAAGGCTGAAAAAAAATTTTTAGCTTGAATTAATTGAAAATGATTACATACCGTTTGATGATAGACAAATGCTTGGCAAAGAGGGGGCCAACCTAGGTTAGGTTTGGAAAGAGAAATCAAAGTAATTATTGCCTTCCTGTTTGACATTTTGCTAGTTGTTTCTATAATTGGATTTAGAGTATGTAAATGTTCAACACAAAAAAAGTATGCTTAGTAATGTTCAGCACCAACATGAAATTCTGTAAAAGCAAAAGATGCAGACACAATTGCATTGTCAGTCAAAACAACTCTTTGCTTGTTCAACTTCCCATAACCTCTTGTAGATTAATTCCTTCACACTTTTGAGATTAGGGTATCTAGAAGCATACATTACTAAAAATTAAGACATTGCAAGTATATAAAATATTAAAAAGGAAAGTAAAAGTAGGAAGTAGAAAGTAGGAAAGTAAAAGATGTGCGTGAGTCATATAAGGTTCATCCAGGTGAAGCTTGTTCATTCTTGTCTTGTTCACTTAGAAAAACATCAATGAAAATTTGCATTTGTTAAAAGTAAACATAGTAATTTAGATTTAAATTTTAATTATTTATTAAAAAAGTATTAAATAATTCCAAATACATTCACGGTCATTGTTTGCTCATAGCGTTAGAAAGAGAGACTTAGAGTTTGACAATACAGCATCATACCAAAACATGCAAGTTTGATAATAAGTTCACAATAACTAAAAATTTATCACATTAACTTTCAATTTTGAGTTACATTATCAAAATGATAAATTGCCCAAAGTTTCAACAATTTCAAATTATACAAACAACATATTACAATTGAATTTTAGACAAAATATCTCAAACACCAGCACATGAATGCCGTATTAAATTATCAAAAAAGCAAAGTTATTTCAACCAGATATCTTAACACACATCTAACACCTCAAAGGGAAATTCACTTCATGCACACACACAACATACACACAGCGAAAAGTGGGGAATTGATTCTCATAATCCACATTCTTTTTAGTTTTGGACAAGAATCAGTAAGCTATCTATCTCAATAGCAAAAGCTGCTAGATCTTTCTCGTCCTTAGATGCATGGCATTGATACTAAAAACAATCGTTCACAACATGTTATTATTTAGAATTTAGAATCATGAACCAATAAAATGTCACAACAAAGACATGCCCATGGATTTGAATGATAAAAAAAAAAAAAAAAGCTTAGCTTATGGATCAACATAGAATCCTTTCAACTTTGCCTTTTCCTTCAATTGAATCAACTATTTTTCCTGGCAATTATAGACCATACAATACAACTAAAACGCTTTTAGGATTTGATAAAAAAAATTTATATAAATAACAAAAAGAAACCAGTGGCTTTATGTCTGTTAATTTCTTAAGGGCTTATCATGCATAAAGTGGACACTAGCACCATTTAAAATTTGTAACTCTAGTATTAGCAAGCACCACTGACGCAAAAAAAAACTAAAGATTATATGACTGTTAATTTCTATAATAAAACTTTGCCATGAATACATTTCAAGAACTTATAGGAGAACTTGAAATTAAAAATGTAGATTAAACTTTTTGATCACTCTTATCTTGTCATTATTCACATGGCTACTGTATTTCAAATTGGCAGTAAAGTTACTTTGACTACAATGCAGATGACAACATGTTTCATTATTTCAAACTAATTGGAGAAACATCAATTATATCAATGTAGTTAGGGAAGCAACTTTATGCACTTAAAGGTTTTTCCATTCCATGCACATTTAAAGCCATATCCAAGGGGTTGATATGATAAAAACCAAAATAAAAAACCACTTTACTGCTAATGTCCATGCAACTCAAGTGTCTGTTAGTGGTTGTATTCTAGAAATGAATGCATCGATCAGTTGTACCACCTTAAGAAGTAAGAAGCCTGTGCAGATGGGAAAACCATACAATTGCTTTTACAGCAGCAATATCCTCAGTATTTCAGGATAGGTTAAATGGAATGTTGATTCCAAACAAAAAGTT